CCTGGTCCTCATCCATCACTTCTATCTCCACGTTCTGGTCGTGTAAGTGATGGACCACTGCTTCGCAGATGTAATTCCACTTTGGATTCACTGTATTGTAAATGACTGGAGATCTGAATTCTTGACTCCCGATTATGATTCGCACGTATGGATCACTCTTCCCCAGACCTGTATAGCAAAGTAGACAAAATGATGTCGAATATGGCATTAAGTGTTCAATGCATACCTAACATCCCGACGTCACTCTTTTTCAAGTTCTTCGCTTCAATCACTTCCAGCCGCATGACTCCAATCGGTGGCGCAAACCTAATTGATTTCATTGACAGGCCATCAATGAGTGGCACAACCACTTTGTTGGGCAAAACCATCAGAGCTGCCAACTTCTCTTGTATGGCATGTCTTAAGTAATTACTGTATTTCAACGACAAATAGCAATTTGATTATAAACTCGCTGCTAATGACAGCTCAATCTCAGACCTCAATCCCGGCATATCTAAAATATCTGCCAAATTAGTCAAATTGAAATCAATCGACGGATTGTTGAGAAAATAGAGAGAAACGCAACCGAAAAGTGGTATATCCTTAAGTAGTGGCCGCAACTCAACCCGTAGTAAACCGTATAATTGCAAGTTTTTAATACCCGCTTTCATACCCTTTACCCGCACCTGAATGTCACAATTGCCGGCATAACTGAAAAATTGTTTTATTATGTAAAATTGTAATTGTGCTTAATATAACTATCAATGACTCACTGTATCTCTATATCCAATATTATCTCATCTCTGGATGTGTTTTCATCGTAACATTTAATACTTCCAATGCGTGCCGGCTATTGGTTTTGTTGCATAATTAGTAAATCGTGATAAATTTGATCATTTGTTTGACGCAAAGCATACCTCCGACCCTAAGTCTAGTCTTTCAAATCTAAAACTTTTTAAGAAATCTGGAAGCGATGAAGTGATGTTCGGTTCAACACTTTGTTTAATCATTGTTTTCATGTACTCATCAATGAAAGGCCACAACTGTTTCATTATTTTATTAACCCATTCGGCTCTTTCTCTGTCCTGAAATTATGATAATGTTTTTTATTTCATTTCATAGAAAATATAAGTTATATTACTTTTAATAGTATGTTTTATTGTATATATTAAGTTATCTTATTTGTTTTTAATAAAAACTTTTTTATGTACTTTTGTATAACCGCTCACATCCTATTTTATATTCTTGAGGTCTGCATAACTTAAGCAATACTTTTATTAATCACTTTTGTTTTTTGAATTTATATTTTCTCAAATCGTTTAAAGTCCTTGAATTTTTACATCAGTCTCAAAGTTTAGGATTTTTAATTACATATTAATATAATTACAGACAAATTACATAATTGTCTAAATTAATCGACACTCGCTAAACAATAAGTTAATTAACTATAAATGATTTTAGCATAAAATAATATTAAATAGGAATATTATGTTTTACATATAATATGCATATTTGCTATAATAGATATACAGAATATAGTGAATGATGGAAATAATATGCAATATTGAATCTCCTGTTAGTCGTTAAGAAAAAATAAGCAAAGAATTGGAGATAATATAAAGAATTGAGTTTATATTGAGAATACAATTGCAATGAATAATAGAGAATGAAGTAAATTACCGGAAAGTGGACCCAAGAGGGCAGGTCTTTGATGGCAGATGATAATGTTTTTTATTTCATTTCATAGAAAATATAAGTTATATTACTTTTAATAGTATGTTTTATTGTATATATTAAGTTATCTTATTTGTTTTTAATAAAAACTTTTTTATGTACTTTTGTATAACAGCTCACATCCTATTTTATATTCTTGAGGTCTGCATAACTTAAGCAATACTTTTATTAATCACTTTTGTTTTTTGAATTTATATTTTCTCAAATCGTTTAAAGTCCTTGAATCTTTACATCAGTCTCAAAGTTTAGGATTTTTAATTACATATTAATATAATTACAGACAAATTACATAATTGTCTAAATTAATCGAAACTCGCTAAACAATAAGTTAATTAGCTATAAATGATTTTAGCAGAAAATAATATTAAATAGGAATATTATGTTTGATATAACATATAATATGCATATTTGCTATAATAGATATACAGAATATAGTGAATGATGGAAATAATATGCAATATTGAATCTCCTGTTAGTCGTTAAGAAATTTATTCGTTTCTTAACCTCTATTATATTTCTTAACTCAAATATAACTCTTATGTTAACGTTACTTATTATCTCTTACTTCATTTAATGGCCTTTCACCTGGGTTCTCCCGTCCAGAAACTACCGTCTAGTTATGGCCAACTTTTCATTGGCAGAAATAGATCTCAAGAGATTAACTTTTTCTGTTTGTTGCTTAAAGTATTTGTAGCGCAAAACCCATACAAATACCGCTATCAGAATCCACGCGATACTGAATCCATAATAACCCAAAACATAGCCACTGAATACTACGGCAAACAATTTGCATGACTTTATGGACAACGGAATCAATTGGAGATTATTGTCACTCTCTGTACTTTCAGTCTTATTATTTGTATCCATACTTTTGTTTGTAATTTAATTTCTAACTTATTTTATGTGTAAAATTTTTTCATATCCAACGAAAATATGTTTTCAAACGATTCATTGCGATAACTAATCGGATATAAATCGACACACATTTCATAAGAGAAACTCGTTTTTGAGACTTTTTATCTCGCAATTAAACTCATAAACGCATTACACAAATATAAACATAAAACACATTTTTAGATTAAACATAACCAAAGAGACGATTAATTTAACAGTAATTTATTTTCTCTATAATTATTATTCATGTCTACCAAATAGTGTGTTACAAAATGTGGTATTTTCAGAGAATTGTAATAAAAACTAATAAAAAGTAACTATAAATTGAAAATAGAAAGTAGTGTTGCCTTGACTTGAATCGGAACACCTCTTTATCTACACATTTGGCTTATTATCGGAATATAAATACTTTTACACGCATTCGCTGTTTGTATAGTTATCTTGACTACAGAAACACTTAATAATTACATCACTCTCTCCACTAACATATCATATATTTAGTTAACACATCACTTCTATATTATACAATTGTTTATGATTTATACCCAAAGCACATGTGCGCCCAACTTATCGGTAAATCTGTTTTTAAATTGTTTTTATTTATTTTTTGATTAATTTAAACAGAAATCGTTTTGATTGAAATTGGATTTAAAAGACTTTTGAAAAGTCAATAAATTAAATAATAATGAATACTAAAGAAGAAGAAAAGTTGTGTGATTTGTATGAAGTGGAAGAATGTGTGAAATGGATTCAACAAAACAATTATCAAAGAACTTGTTTGCAATTTTCCAAACAATGTTTAGATATCAGTTCAACGATTGCATTGATTCTTCAAAAGCGAACCGAAACACAGTTTTTCATATCCTATTCAACGATGTGTTGTGTCGACTATCTGTCGGTTAAACATTTGAACGAATCGACCGTCGATTCAATTATTTATTTCGGTAACGTTTGTCTCACGTACTCATCATTTAGTGATTCGTTACCCGTTTTACATGTGTTTGGAAAGAATTGTAAGTATTTTCTATCATTTTTGCTCAAAATTTTTGTATTAAACTTAATTTTTATTTATATTTACAGTGAAAAATGATTCTTTGGATTTGATTGAATCATCCATTAATGAGATGCAACCAATTAATTGCTTAATTCTTTACAATACAATCAATGCATTCACTGCTCAGAAAGGGATGCAAAAGATTGAATCTAACGAAACATTGAAAGGGAAGACAACTATCGCTAAATTAAATATAATGTGCGAAAAATGGAAGTTTACGGAAAGTGTTTCAACACTTCTTCACTATAAATCCGATTTAACGAACGATACGTCCATTGAATTCAATGCATTTTCATTACAAAATCCAATACAAATTTATGATTTAGTGGTATATTTAGGTGAATGTAATTCATTAAACTTAACCGTAAACTGCGAAAAGTTATTAGAGATTGACGTCAATAATAGTACCAAACGATTGATTTATGGGCCAAAAGAACTTCGGTTTATGATTTAGTGGTATATTTAGGTGAATGTAATTCATTAAACTTAACCGTAAACTGCGAAAAGTTATTAGAGATTGACGTCAATAATAGTACCAAACGATTGATTTATGGGCCAAAAGAACTTCGGAAAAGAGTGGCTCTTATCGAGAAATTTAAGCAAAAGTCTTGTCATTTGGTTGGCTTTCTCTTAACCAATCCATTACCAAATGTGAAGCAAATGTGCGCTCAAAGCAAAGAATTGTGTAAAAAGTTACGCAAAAAAGTTTACTTCATATCATTGGTTCAGGCCTTTGATGAATACAAATTGGGAAACTTTGGACAACTGAACGCTTTTGTTGTACTCAACTCGTGCTTCTGTTCCTCAGCACTCAATTCCATTGACTACTGTCTCCCAGTATTGAATTGGACTGAATTGCAGATCGCATGCGGAGTCAAAACACATTACGGCGTCCTCTGGAATGACACGACCGACACGTCGGACGACATTCAGGACTCGGATTCAGACGACACGGAAACCGAAGAATTGAATAATAAACTCATAGAAACTAAAATATTTGAAAGGAATTATTGGTTCGGTTTAGAAATCAATGCCGGAGACAGAGAGGCAGCGATCGTAAAACCCGGACAAAGAGGTGTTGCTTCTGGTTATGACAACGAGAATATTTTATAATGTGTTTTGTTTTATGTATTGCTTTCATATTTTTGATAGTAAATTAAAAAATCCGTTTAATAAATATACCGGAAAATCATTTTTACATAAATTAAATTACAAATAAATTTTCCTCTAAACGTATGGAATTTTATACACTATTTTAAACTTCTCTCAAACTTTTAATTTGTATTAAATATTTATCATTTTGTGGAAAAAGATTTATTCACACGTAATGAGTGTTTTGCAAATCATATAAATAGAAACAATTTATTTAATTATTGAATAAAAACAATGAAATTAACACTAATTATGAAATTATAATGAATTCTTTCCTTATATGTAAATGAATTCATTTATTATTTGATTTCACAATCTTTGCGCAAATTATTAGTAACTAAATATAAATGATATAAATATGAAATACAAATAAATAATAGATCTGATGAACTCGTATCTAATGAATATTAGATAATCTATATAACTAGATGAGTGACCTAGGGTATATTAACCGTATTTATCATAATGATTGATAAATTGATAAAGTTAATAACAATTCCTGTGCACAGTATAGTGAATATAAGGCCACGCCCTTAGAAAAGCGCCGGTAAGTAATGATAAGGACAGGGATTAAAACAATATCAACACGAGTTGGCACTAAATCAACACTAAATAATAATAATTATTAAATTAATATAATTTACAAACAGTTGTGAAAAGTTAGAGAATCGCAAATATGAAGAGGGGTTGAGTGGTATAGCGTTGAGAACGTGGGGTACGTAATGAATGAACGGTCCCTTTGGAGGCAATGATTGAATGTTTCAATAACTGAATGAATGTTTGTTTGTGTGAAAAACGGTGTAAACGTTGCCATCATTTCATTCAATCAATTGATTATTCACTCATTTTCTATCATTTATTTGACTTTTGATTTCATTTTTGGATCCATTAATTGTGATCACAATTAAGAAGAAGTGATTGTTTGCCATAAAGTGTGCAAAGAATGGCCAAAACATACGACTATTTATTCAAACTATTGCTGATCGGAGACTCAGGAGTGGGGAAGACATGCATACTCTTCAGGTTCAGCGAAGACGCCTTCAACACCACTTTCATCTCAACCA